AAATACTCAACAGTTGTATCAGATCCAACCATCTCTAATGTCCATACTTCAATTCCCAGCAAGTCTAATCAACATATACAAACTCAATCAATTCCTTCTCCATCTATGGATATCCAAAACTATTTCTCAAATTCGGTCGCATCTTCCTAGTACCTGCACAGATACTCCATCTTTCTCGATGTACTTCTCCCTGAGTACTCTTATCCAACTCACACTATTCAGAATACACACTTCATCACGACATCTCACAATACCATTTCCCTTAATCCGAAAATAAGCCCTCTGACTTTTATCCATTAAATTCAATTAATCTATCAACTCAACTCAGAATTTCCGATTTCCTCGAACCTCATCAGGATACCAAAGGTCAATCTCAACATCCAAGGCTCAACTCCATAAGAAGTCTCCTCACAGGCCGAACTCATATCTGAATTTGCTTCATCAGTTCTAACTTCCTTACCATCTTCATTAGTGTATACCAAAATTCCCGATTCGATATCTTAGCTACCACTTTGTCTCATCCGAATGGTAATTTAACCAAAACCATACTCCTTCAGGAGTTCCAATTACTTCTCTGTCTCATATTGACTCTCTCTCAAATAAAACAAATACCTTAAGGTCAATAACCATCTCAAATCTCAACTAAACAATTGAGGCTCCCAAACTCCGGTACAAACACACAACAACAACCCACTCCAAATTACTTGTCAGATAATCCCTCTCTGTACTTTATATTGCCTTCAAGCATAACCAAAACTCATTAATGTTGTACTTAACACATCTCTTAATCATATCAACAAAGTATCTCAAAACACAACGACAATCCTGTCGGACTTGGCAAAACCAATACACGAACTGTTGACAGCTTTCTCAAAACTCTTTGAACTTTCTTCACAGTAGTACTTCACTGCCTCTTCCCCAATACTAATAACTCAAGTTCCCGACGCTCAACATGAACCCCTATATTCTCCGAACATATCCAAACACCATCGGTTACATAACCATTGACTCTCTCAATCAAGTGTGGAAAATCATTATATCAAACGGACACTCAGCTGTGAACTTATGGTGATAACATAAACCGCACTCTCCGCGCTTACCATAACATCCAACATTTTTCGCCAATAAATACTTAATTCCATGTCACTACTTTCCCATCACATAGAGCACTGTAATATCTTCCAACGCTTCTAATCTTGCGTCATTCCGAATTACGGTTTTCCGTTATGACAAAATCACGGAAACAACCCTTCCACACTTAAAGGTCATCCAATACCTCTCCAACTCTTGAAATGCTTAAGGGTCCAATTATACCAACCATGTATTCCACATCTCATTTCCTTTAGTAATCACTAGAAGTCATTATCCACCCTTATACTCAACTCCACAATCTGATGTCGTAGCACACACACCAGACATAATTCTCAACACTACTCAATCAATTTAATTCTTCGACTGTCCAAACAGATATAATTAGTCGGCAAAACCGCCATCTTCCAACTTTCATTAGCACCCCGAATTCCCATCAAAATTAACCATCTCCTCACTGTCTTGTGCCGACTCATCAACACACTTCTTAAGCACCTGGCTTAGCTCCAAACAATTCTCTGCTCACGCCACCTAAGCTTGCAAGACACGTCCATCCCATCCAACAGAACTCCAACTACTATCAACAAGAGATTAAGGGTGATCAGTTCCTCAATTTGTCAATAGGCAGCTGAAAATCACGATGGAGTATAGACTATCTTTACCAAACCACAAGAGTGTTAACCACCCACTGAGCTACAACTTCTACACCTGCAACATCTTGGAGAAGCACAACTTCTCCCCCACTTAGATCATTCCCACTTCTCCAGACAAGGTTAAGCAACAACATGTATCGACAGTGTTTTCACACACATGTCGCATACAAGGGAACAAATAACATTAGACAACTTGGCCGGACGGACCGACCTGCTCTGATACCACTAATGTAACACCCTTCTAAACCCCGCAAATAATATATGCATAATCAGAGTAAAAGTTAACATGCATCCAAAAAAGGGCATCACACAAAACTTGCACCACATTAAAATAATCTGTCATGCTCATAAACACCTTTCCATTTAGCAGCGGATCCATTAATAAAAATCCTTTAAAAGAAACATTTACTTTCATCATATAAATTCAACATCTCTAGGCACTAAGGCCAACATCTCATCATCTCAATTATTCCAAATATGAAAACATAACTTAGGTTACATAATGTAATCCTAAAACATAAGCAATCGATCCCCGTGTTACACGACCAGAGCATGACTCGACCCATAAATAATTACTAAACCGCTACACACGTAGCGACCTCGAACTACAAGCAGAACTTCATAAAGGCCTCCAGCGATCTAATCTGCAATGCCTCATAGAGCATTATGAAACAGCAGAAGGGTGAGAAATATTACCATAATAATCAAGGCATAATATTACGTATATATAGGTATCATATAACACATATTCACATTTCTCACCACACTTCATTCTCATAATCATAATCATATCACGTTCACATATATCAACATTATGAACATCCACAAGCACATCCCTTCATGCTTGACTTCACAATCATTCACAAGCACATTTGTACCACAACAATATTATGCAATGTGACTCAACATATTCAATGCAACTCAATGCTATGCGGTACCGACTCTCGTTATCTTTTTTCGGTTTTCACTCTAAACCGGGTCCACCCTTCTAGACCGATAACTCGTTATCATTTTTCGGTTTTTACTTTAAACCGGGTCCACCCTTCTAGACCGATAACAACCAAGCCCGTCCCCTAGGCTTCAAACCCACCCTTCCAGGTTTGGGACAAGCCACTAGTTTCCACGAAACTAACGGACATTGCCTCTTGACTGAATGATGCATGTACAATCAACTAATCACAATAAATGCACTTAAGACCGTTCCCGCGTCTTAATCCCATGCATTCGAATAATTCACCCCTTCGAGAATCTCATCATGATTGCACATACAACATATATCAAACATTTATCAATGTATTCATTCCAAACATCATCATTATCATATTCAACAACAATGCACACATATCACATATGTTCCCATGCATTTACACAACAATCACATATAAATATGCACTCACAATTCATTAGACAATACACATACATTCATCATTGTATTCACATGTATTCGAATAATTCACCCCTTCGTGAATTATATCATGATTGCACACACAACTTATCATAATAATCATCAACGTATTCATAATTCAATACTATCACACAATGCACAGATATCTACGATATGTTCTTATGCATTACCCGCATACAATCACAATTCATTTCAAACATTATATTTATCAAGCAATGCACGCATATCCATCAATATGCTCTCATGTATTCTTCATGTATTTTAACATACAATCGCATATAAACAATATGCATTCACAATACATTTTTCATAGTATGTTTATTATTCATCTCATGCCATTTTATACAAGGTATACGCCTCACAATACCAATAATACAATTATAAGCCATGCACACATATATCCACAATGTTCTCATGCATACTAATTACATAATTGTACACAACAATCAAACATTCACAAACTCATCAATTAATACACACATAATCATCATTATGTTATCATGTATTTTAACCGATTACAATTAATCATTCATATCACAACTCTAGGATTCACGCCCAAAGGCTACCCACAACACATATCATCACCATGGATCACATACTTATTCATATCATAGAGGTATTAACCTATGTGAATCAACCAAACAATCACCACATGAACAACACAGCAAAAGAAAAATGCTGTCACATTCGCCTGGCGAACCCTCGCAGCGAACCTTCGCCTGGCCTTCGCCTGGCGAACTCTCTCAGCGAACACTCGCTAGGCTTCGCCTGGCGAGACTTCCCAGCGAGCCCAAGTCAGTAGCTACTGACTTCATTCGCCACCATTCGCCAGCCCCTTCGCTGGGCGAACCTTCGCTATCCACCTTCGCTTGGCGAACTCGCCAGCAAAGTCCACTGGGACTTAATCATAATTACTCGCCAGCATTCGCTAGGCTTCGCCTGGCGAAGCTTCGCCTTCGCTCGCCTGACGAGAGCCAGCGAACCTGCGCAGAACAGAATTTCATTCTGTCTTCTCCTCCTCAATCCACCATCAACCAACTTCTCACACAACAAAATCAGTACAAACAGCATCAACACATGTTACCCGACTATTCTACGGCATTATTACTCAGTTCCAACCGATTAAATCACCAATCTACCGATTAATCCAACATTTGCCCTAATTGGAAAGTGATGAAAAATATCCACAAACCCAAACCCAACATACATAATAGCATACAATGATTAAATAGCAATGTTTCTCACCCTTACCTCGATTAATCGGAGCTTCGAAATTGGTTCTTGAAGATTCTCCAAGCTTTTCCCCTTTTTCCTCTTCATTTCTCCTCTTCTTCTTTCTTTCTCTTTTCTTTCTTTCTTTCTATCTTTCTCTTTCTCTCCAATCCCCTTTTTATATCCTTTTATTTCTTTTTCCTTCCTTTCTATTATTTTCTTTCCATTCCATTTCCCTCTTCACAATTATCTCATTTTATCATTAATTGGAAAATATCTACTAAGCCCACCTTATTCCACCAAATAGAATAAATTAGTTAAATCCATTAACTCATATTAAATAAATCTCATAACTTATTTAAATCAGATAAACCACCTAAACCAATCCATTAGTACAATTAATCAGTTATCAAAAATTGGGCTGTTACATGAGGTGTGCTGCCCATATCTTAAACTTGGTTGTGAGAGATGGACAAAAAGATCATGAGTTGGCTATTGATAGTGTTCGCGATGCTGTTAGGTTTGTGAGGTCCTCACCATAAAGAGCTTTGAAGTTTAATGAATGTATAGAAATTGTAGGGATAACATGTAAAAGAAAACTTGGCCTTGATGTTTCCACACGATGGAATTCCACTTACTTGATGTTGGATGCTGCTGAGAAGTTCCAAACAACATTTGAAAAGTTAGAGGATGAGGATCCTAGCTACATGGAGTTTTTTGAACATTCCAGTCCACCTTGTTCTACTGATTGGGAAAAAGCTAAGGCTTTTGTGATTTTTTTGAAAATATTCTATGAGGCAACCAAATTGTTTTCATCTTTGCAAGAAGTGTCATTACATTTAGCCTTTCATAACTTGTCTGATATTTTGTGTAAGCTTCAAGAAGCGTCCTTGAACATGAAAACCTATGTGGCTCAAATGGTTTCTAATATGAGGACCAAATATGATAAATATTGGGGAGATGTTGAAAAAGTGAATCATTTTATCTATTTTGGAGTAATCTTTGACCCTAGGTTTAAGTTCGGTTATGTTGAGTGGTCTTTCAATGACATGTATGGGGTTGGTAGTGAACTTGCTAAGAAAAATGCTAAGTGTGTAAAAAAAAGTCTATATAAAATATATAATTGGTATAAATTTGAGCATGATAAAAATATCGGGGCTGCCCTCTTAGATGCACCATCCGGGAGCACTTCCCATGGAGAAACATGCACCCAAACTAGAAAACCATCACTTTTTACAAGGGCTGATGCTTTTAAACAACACTTGAAAGAGAAAGACATGGTTGATAATCAAAATTAACTAGAGAAGTACTTAGGAGACCCTTGTTGAGGAGATGCTGGAAATTTAACATTCTTAAATGGTGGAAGGAGAATTCCACATGTTATCCTATATTAGCTACTTTGGTTAGGGAAGTTTTGGCAACACCTGTTTCAAGTGTAGCATCCGAAAGTGCTTTTAGTACTGGGGGGCGAATTTTAGACATGTATCGGAGTTCTTTGAGTCCGGCAATGGACGAGGCGCTTATTTGTTCTCAAAACTAGTTTATGTCTTCTAACGAGAACGACTCAAGAGTCGTTGATCTGCTTGAAGAATATGACATAACTGATTCTATAGTTGCAGGTACTTTATGAAACAAAACTTTATCTTTTTTAATATTATTTTAATAGCTTTAGCCTCATTATATTTTTGATATCTTGCAGAGTTTCGTGTAGGTGTTACTGTTGGAGCAACTACTCCTGGGCAGGCTGTGCCTGTTTAAATCACCTTTAGGTATATGCTGAATTTTTTCTATTGTATATGCAGCCAATATATATATATATATATATATATATATATATATATATATATATATATATATATATATATATATATATATATATATATATATATATATATATATATATATATATATATATATATATATATATATATATATATATATATATATATATATATATATATATATATATATATATATATATATATATATATATATATATATATATATATTTGCAGCAAACATTCTATTGTACTTGCAGCCATAGTAAACCATTTTTTCTCTTGTCCTTGCAGCCACTTTTTGAATTTTTTTGGAGTCTTGAATGACTCATAATATTAAAGCCATTATAATTAGTAAATCAGTTTTAGGAATCCATGTAATAATTTTGGGTAAGGAATCCACTATTGGTTTAATACAGTGACAATGCTGTGAGTTTACACTTCTTTTGGGGCTATTCATGACGATGAATCCAGACCTGTTTTGGTAATTTACACTGCTTTTTACTACATTTTTCACACTAGTCTTAATTATCACTCTGATTTAAGTTTAACCAGTAACTAACCGTGTTTAATTTGATTGATTATTTTACGTTTTTATAGATCGGCGTCTGGTTTTATGCAAGGTGTTTGTAATTTGTAATGAGGTTCTAAGCTTGTTGTTGTGTGCCTCAGTTCTGTTTAGATCCTTGGAGGAAGTTTTTTCTGGCTGACTGCAGCTGTGAGTTTAAGTGTGGTTTGTGTTGAACTCCTGCTGCTGCTAGGCTTTGGTAAGAATTATCACAGGTAGGCTAGTTGATTTAGTATTTTAGTATTTAGTGTTTTAGGACTCAGTAGGCGTTAACCATTTTGAGTTTGTCAACTCATATAAGCTGTCAGCATGTTTGATTTGGATTGTAGCAATTTGTATGTCAATGTTTTGCTTCTATCGAAATGATCAACATTTGTTTTAAATGACTAGGACTCTCAATCACAGTGGCACCATTAGGAGCAGTTTCTGCACTCTTATTTGCCTCACCTTCAGCCCATTCTGCACGGGTATGTGTTGCACCCTAAAATTTGCTCAACCTATTTCACCTGGTTTATGTTTTAATTGCATTATCATTTGCATAGTCACATCATGTACATAATCTCATCATTTTCATATCATAACATAGCCAGTCATCTAACAAGAGATCAAGTGCCATTCTTATCTAAGGAAGCACATTAAGGGGCTTTATTCAAGCTGAAAAACATCCAAGTCATCAAGGAATGGGTTGAAACTTTGAGGAGATTTGAGTGTCAACAGGTGGATTCCTCTCCTAACTTGAGGTGTATTGAAGATCATCAACCTGGAATTATGAATATGAGGTGTGTATGGATCCCATGGGAGGCCTAAAGATCCCTATTGAAGCTTAGACAAGTCATGGCATCAAGTTCAGGAACCACAGTTGAGGTGTGTACAAGTAGGGTTTCATCTGGGTAACCTTAGGTCAAGGAGAGCAAAGAAAGGGCATCAAGACCTAGCTCTAGGTCATGGAAGTCATGGATGGATATGTTAAAGCATGTGTATGGATGATTCAAGATCAAGTTCAAGAGAATTAAGAGTGGTTGGAGGTGTTTGAGACAGGGTTCGTAGGGTAAAATCCCTTGTATAGCACTGGACTTCCAAGCCACATAAGTCAAAATGAAAGTTTCAAATGGATTCTTGGCCAACATGAGACTTGTAGAGCTTCTCAATAGATTTAATTTGAGTACAAGAAGTCTTCAAGGAGATTTGTAGAACTCAAGTTATGGTTCTTGCAAGTTATGGGTCATCAGAGGACACTGAAATTTATCTATGAAAGTCACTTGACTTCCAAGCAACTTTTGCCCATCAAGGAGTTTTCAAATGGATTCTTGGCCAACATAATAATTGTGGGGCTTGAGCTTACCTTTAATTTGAGTACTAGAAGTCCTCAAGAAGAGTTGTGGAACTCAAGTTATGATCTTGGCAATCCAGGGGTATTTTGGGAAAGTTGAATTATAGGTCATTTTTCAACATAGGTCAAAATCTCTATCTTCCACTCCTCAAATGGAAAAAATTTTCAACATGAGATGTGCTTAAAATGATGTTTTTAGGTCAGATAAGAAGTCATGGGTGATTGAAATGGCTTGTATCACAAAGTTGCCCAAAATGGCCTAAAAAAGGAAGAATTAAAGTCATGTAAAAAAGTCAAATTTGTGATTTTTTTATTTGAGGTCAAAATGGGGCATATGGCATATCATTTTAACCAGAAATGAGGTTTTAAAGACAATGGCAATGTTGGGTTTTTCATTTGAAGTCATTTGCTCATAATTGCATTTGGTAGCTTATGACATAAGTAACATATGCCAAATCCTTCACAAGAGCAAAACCAAGGCTCCAATCACTCCTAACACATTCAAAATACCATTTGGAGAGAAATTGAACAAAGAATAGGGTGCTGCAACAAGCTGAACAGAACTGTCATATGAGCATGAGATGGAAAATTCCACATGAGATGAGAAATTGAATTTATCCTAGGGATCATTCCAGAAGTTTCTGGAGCTTTCAAGCATGTTCTATATGTAGATTAGAAGTGGTTCAGAGCATTGGTTGGTGAGAATTGAGAGAGATTGGAGAGATAGAATTCTGAATTTGCTCCTTGCAAAACAGAATCGATTACATCATTTTGATCCGTTTCAATCCATTCTTTTGTATTCAGTAGTTTCCTTTGGAGTTTGTGAGTGATTCCATATAGAATTCAAGCCAAGATTGTTGCAGAATCGTGAGATAGCATTTGGAGTTCATAGCTTGAAATTGAAAATCACATCTGGTGATTCAAGAGGTTTCAACATGATTCATTGCATACATAAGTTCAATCAAGTGCCATTGATCATATCTGGAGGTTCTTGAAGCTTAATTTGAAGCTTTCATCACTCTGTTCATCCAAAATTTGCAGGTTAGTAAAATTCAACATGTAGCATAATTCATATAGTTTTGCTAGGTTTTAGATGTTTAGATTCGTATTAGATCATGGTTAGGAGCTTTCTGGTGCATAATTTCAAGGTTTAGAGACAAAAAGTTAGTTGACACAATTTCTGTTGATGAACATTTCTGATGATTCTTGAGGATTTAGACTTAGTTTGATAGATAGATTAACTCAGTGTTAGGTGGTGATGATCCTGGGCACTTTATTTTTGAGTTTGGTGTTGATTCATTTTTGAGCTTGTTCTGAAAATTCATTCGTGTTTTAAAATGGAGAAAGATTCAATATATTTGGAGGGCATGGTTGAGTTGCTGATGGAAAAACGAGTTGATTGAGATAGTTTTGTTAGTGTTTAGGTGAGGATTAGTGAGACTGAGGGTTGGGGACGATGGTAGCTTCACCGCTGGCCACCGTCTGTGTGAGTTCCCTCCAATATGTTTAAAATGGGGAAGACAATAGGATAACCCTTGGATGATGAGTGAGACTTTGACCAATTGAGGATCTAAGGGCCACGATGCATTCTCATTTTGTGAAGAAACTCTGAATTCCCTCTCAACGCACCGTTTCACTAAATGTTTGGTTTTGGGCTTAGATGAACTTTGCTAATCACACCCCAGTTGTAAGGCCCATTGAGAAACCAACGCGAATTAATTGCTATTCGCCACGAGCTTTTCTCATTTTCCTTGATTTTCCATATTATTTTCCGAGTTGTTTTGGGATTAGCACGCGTCTGATATCCGCACCCCCTCCTGAGCCCAACTTCATTTTTGAACTGGATAGTATTGCTATTTGACACGCCTCTTTTGCATTTTTCTTTCATTTTCTTCTATTTTCACATTTTATTTTAGGTTAATAAAATAATTCATATCAATTTGAAAAATAATCATTTTAAGATGGGATTTTTTTTCCTAGTTCCCTTAGGACCTCTAGAAAGTTATGAAACAATGAAAATATTAATTTCATGCATTTTATATTTTTTGGTATATTTTACAATTTTATTGCTTTTATTTTACATTTGTTTGATACTTCATCTTTCTGAATTTAGTATGAGAGATTGGTGCATGATTTTTGATTGATTCTTGTGAGGTTGATTAGATTAGGGAAACATGTACCCTTAGGAATTTTGTCATTTTTTTTGTGATTAAAACTTAGATTAATTTGAGAGGTAGATAGGAGAGGTATTAAAATTAGGGTTTCACAACATTTAGGTGTAGTTTAGGGCATAGTTTGGGGACCTAGGGTTTGATTTAAGCCTTGGGGTTTATAGGGGGTATTGGGTATAGGGTTAGGTTCCCTTAGAAATTAATCTAGGTCTTTTTAATGAGTATTACTATTTTACTTGTTTTTTGCAATTTGAGTGGTGATGGTGTGTTTTCCCTCTTGGGCATTTTGCTTGTTTGTTTGGTTTGTGCTATTTCAATTGGGCTTTGGGCTTGGGCTTTGCTTGTTGGGGCTTATGAAGGGCTTGAAGATGATTGGAGACAAAGGAGGGAGCTTGAAGCCTGAAGATTCTTCTCCTTGAGGGGGCTTAAGAGATAGGAAATATAGGGAGAG